TTTTAATATTAACAAAGGAAGGGGAGATTTCCCAATTACACTTAAGAGAATTTCTCTCTTAACTCTCTACTCACTACAATGTATTGTATTATTTTGGGATGATTTCTACAAGTGAAGGAGTGCATCTATTTATAGAGGTAAAGACCTCCTCTTGATGTCATTGGTGACATCAAACTACCTCCTCTTGATGTCATGGGTGACATCAAAGGAGGAAGCTTCCTCGTAGCATCCACACCAACTCTTTCCACCAACTCTTCCAATTGGCATGTCATTGTTGACTAAACATAAACCAACATTTTCAGCATGTCATTGTTAACTAAACATAAACCAACATTTTCAATATTTACTGATGTTCTTTAGCATTCAAAACATGCAACCTTATATGGAGCTTTTGTTTTCCATATTAGTTTCCAGGGCCAGGATATATTCTCCTGCATACCTGAACTAACAGTTCTGTAGCAGGTCTTAACATAAAAGGTACCACTGCTATTTCCCTTCCATATGGAAAATAATATACATGTAATATGAACTTATGAGGAGTCAGATTTCAGTTTGCTAATGGCTGAGAATAAAAAGTGTTGATAAAAGTTTAGACAAACTGATACAAAGCAGCCCAGTCCCGAAAAGAAAATTAAAGACCCAACAGATCAAGGATATACCGGCCCGAGATGCGAACCAGTAGTATACAAAAATGTGTATACTAATGTTTCTTAACTTGTTTTCTGTCCTAGTACTTCCAAAATATACTTTGTAATTTGTACTTTTTGGAGAGTACTGTGTATCTTGTAATTGTTTTTGGGACGGACGGAGTAATTTGTTTTTGGAGTGACTGGGAAGGAATAAAGGACGAGTATGTGTATTTATACCGGGATTGGGAATAGGGAAGAGTATTGATTTGTAAGAAATTAATCAGTATGAGTCAGATATAAATTGCAATGATATATAAACTCAATGTCTTTTAACTTTCCTCTTCCTCTGCTGGTGCAGGATTGATGATGGATTCCCAGTTGTAACATTCCGCTTTGCAGATTCGCTTTCTTTGACAGTTTATCCCCACGATTATCTTTTCCAAGTCACAGTAAGTAATTAAGTATGCTGAACTTTTCCAGCTCTTTTTTTATTTAATCAGATGAAATTTTTTCCTTTTCCCAAGAAAACTTCCAATTTCAATTCTAAAATTTGATTGTTGGACCCTTGCTTGTTGTACAATAGCAGTTCTTTTAGCTCTCACTCCATTGCCAGACTGAACATTCACGAGCATAGGCCTTTAGATTTGTCTCCTAGGTTAATCATGTTAGATTCAACACAGCTATTTTTCTGGGAATTTGTCTCTTTCATGTCTATATGATACATTTGTGTATGTTTTATTCTACACTTCTGTTGGTGTATATGTCTGCATTTATATGTATGTTGTCCGTACCGGAGGATAGGACCAAAAAGATGGCCTTGTGTTGTTAGGGTGCAGAGAAATATGTCCCTTCTCCTCATGGAGAATTTCATCTCAGTTTTGCTCTGGTCTCAATTTTGCAGGAGAGTCGATGGTGTATTGGTTGGCAAGACAGTGGAGGAATGCAGGCAAAGGATGGAATGACAATAACTCTGTTAGGAGGTATCATTTGACACCTTCTCTTACTTTTAAGAGAAACCATCTAAATTGAAGTAAATCCTTGCAATTTTTATCGAAGAATTTTTGTGAAACTTAAGCTTGACCGTGCTCGATGATATTCCATCCAATCTTATTTCAGCAAGCATGAGCTGGATAAGACATTTCAGGAATATGAATGAATGTAGGACAAAATAAATCTTGTTGTTGGTCAAGCTTGCAGCAATGTTGAGGGATTAGAGACAGTATAGATAAGAATGCATAATCCAAAATAAGTTTAAAAGTTATAAATATGATAAAATGCTTAAAGCTGTGGTAAAGCTGTTGTGTTGGAGTTTAACGATGATTGCAATTTGCTATGATAGAGAAATCTTAGAGGAGGCTGCTGAAGAGCCTATTAGGTCCTCCACGCTCTGTCAATGCTGTGGATAGGGAAAATTTGCATAACAAGTCCCTTTAGCTGATGAAACCTTTCGTGAAAGTTCCTCATTAACTTAATTAATTAACAATGCACAAGTGGGGGAGCCTTGCGCTACGTAATGTGGTAAGTAATCATTCCTTATGCTTAATCATCAAATAAGAACATCGTCCTCTCTATTTCCAGTGGCCGGCATCGCCCGCTCCTCCTAGGGTGCCGCCTCCTTCGTTATTTCGAAATTTGTTCAGATCCAAGAAAGCCACAAGAAAGAGAAGGGAGATGGCTGTGGGACAAAGTGAGAAAACAGTGGAGGAGGGAGCAGTTTGGAGAAGGGTGGCGGTGGCGATAAAGATGGTTGAGCAGGTTATACATAGAGGGGATGCTGTAGGGCAGCCGTGGGTGTGGGTGGTATGAGAGGTGGCAGATTTGAGCAGAATTTTGGGAGAATGGCCTAAAATAGAGTAATAAATAGCTCCTATCTCTTGGACACATGGTGTTAAGAGGCTATATATTTTGGCTTGCATTTGTCTTCTCACGTGCTAGATGGACGTGCATACATTTTTAATGCCATGCCAGCTCTACGGGTGGTATTTATGGGTAATAGGACCTCCCACAAAGTACAGGTAAACATAATATTAGTTGAAGCTGTAGCAGTAAGAATACTCTTTCTAGGCCTGGACTGGAGTGGAATTGAATGATAATTCTGCCATACATTCTGCTTCATCACTTGCATCCAATGTTCTTCTGCAATCCCATTCTTTTATCTTTCAAAAATATTAACGCCGTACACATTATAATTTACATTAAAAAGTGTGCAGCTTTCAGAATTGACTTAAGTTGATAAAACTATTGATAGACAGCTTTTTGACAAATATTTTGTTGCAGATCTTGTGTTATCAAACAAGCTAGTTCTGTATGATATCGAAAACCAGACCATTGGTTGGATCGAGTACGACTGTGAGTATAGTTAATTGATTGTGATTCTTCTGTAGTCTACTCCATATTGAAATGAATCGATTTCCAATATCATTCGTAGCCTTCTACATACATATGGAAATCAATTCATTCCTTTCATTCCATAAGACGCCCCTCCTATCTAAGAATTAGGTGTCTCGCCTGTGTTTTGGTTGCTCTACTTCCTAGTTGTTGTTAATGCTTTCCTGACTTTTACACTACTGTATTTTTTTTCTATACTGTTGTGATTTGCATGCTTGCTTGGAGCCAAGAGTCTACCGGAAACAACCTCTCTACCTGAATAAGGTAGGGGTAACGTTGTGTACATAATACCCTCCCAAGACCCCCTATTTGTGGGATACACTGGGTTTTTTGTTGTTGCTGTTGTTGTTGTGCTATTCTTCACTAGCACTCTATAATGAAAGAAGATATTGATGCTTTCCTCATGTTTCAATGTTTTGCATAGTTATTTGGATTTTGCAGAATCTTCTACTGCACATGAATGCCTTTAAATATCTTCATATATTAGCTATAAAGTGCCTTCCTTTCTTTCTATTTTCTCAGGTTTAGAGACTCCATGTTATTACGATGAAATGTTATGCTATACTCAGTGCATTGTTTATAATTTCCTTGAAAGATTTTTCTTTCAGCATTGGACTTCTCCTCAAGTATTTGCTGTGTTAATTTCAGGCTCTTCAACCATCCAACTCAAATATGAAAGCTCTGGAAGTGCTGGAAGCGCGTATACTGTGGCTTCTCACGATATTTCATCATCTTCTATTGTGGATTCAAGGAAGGGTTTTACATTCTTTTTTTTAATCATTTCCATCCTGTATAATTTGTTGAAGTGATATCATAAACAGCTGTACAGGTGGTCATTTTTGTACCATAATATTCAGAAATTTGAAGGTTTCGACATGTTTCATTGCATATAATCCTTTTCCTCGGTTACTTCTGATGAAACAGTCATTAGCAGTTTCTCTTCTATGTTTAACATGTAAGAACCATTCATATAGAAGCTGGTCAAGTATTTATCTCTTCTCTGGGTATTGTTTCATAGACTATTATAGACAGTAAACATATTTAACCTGGTTTTATAAGTTAATACTCTCTGAGGAGGGCTCTTATTCAGATGAATCCGTAGCTAAAGTACTATATATAATAAACCACCTTTTAAAAGGATTTAAGAGGTGCGATCCGCATATTCTTAAAAAGGATTTAAGATATGTATATATATAATAAATGCTTCAACAGCTCCTGGAGAAAGTTGCTTGAAGAAAGATGAATCTTATTTATAGCAGTATAATATTGAACAAGAAATGCCATTAGCCATAGCCAATATTCTGAAAGTTGCATGGAAATTGTAGAGCATATATTTTTCTGAAACTGATGGATTTTAGGTAGCCCTCTCCTTGTTAGCCTATGCCATTCATTTTAGAAAATTCATTTGATTATGAAGTTGCTACAAATCTCGAAGGCAAATGCAATCGAAAAGCGTCTTCATTTCAAACGAGACACATCCTACAGGGTAAAAAATTTATACGCACCCGATGTTTATACAAAACAAGCGAATGCAAGACATTTATATGAAATCAACGAATACAAAAACTTTATACTAAACCAATAAATGCGAGACTTTTATACCAAACCAACGAATGCAAGGCATGTATCCTTAATATACGCATTTATCACTCACAGGGGCGGATGCAATGTGGTAGATGCGGGTTCAATTGAACCCATAACTTTCGATGCGGAGTTAAAATTTATATGTATAAATTCATTAAAATTGCTAAAATAATGGATTTGAACTCATAACTTTAAAAATATAATGGGTTCAATGTTAAATATCTTAAAAGTTGAACCCATAGAGTTTAAATCCTGGATCCGCCTCTGATCACTCAAGTAACGAATGTCTTCACTGTGATTAGTGATCTTTATAAGTCCATCTAATCACCAAAGAGGCTGGAGTACAATACATTGCAACATAACAAATCATGCAAAACTGTGATACAGGAAAAAGAAAAGAGCAAAAGAACAAATAGCTAGTATCCAAAAATTTAGAAGACCGCGAGTTGGATGTACAAAATTTCTGATTCTACATACACTTGAGAGAGAAAGAATGACTCCCCAGATACTCTAATATAGCCCAGAACAACATGAAATGACCCTATTTTTCTTTTTTCACCTTACCTCTCAGTTTATAAATGAGACAATAAAAAACAGAATATAACAACTAAACAAAATGGAAAATAGGACAGAAATAAACCCAGACTCAAGCACTTCACCATTTCACTCTCTATTTCTTCTTTGACTTTGATCCTCCAGAAGCTTTCTTCTCTTCTTTGTCTGGCACAAACCTTGGTAATGTCATCACTGTGTTCACCCGAGATACCCCTTCGAGCGCAGACCATTCTTTCCCCGTCTTCGGTAGCAACTCTTCCTGTTCTGAGGCTTCCTCTTTGCTGCCTGCTGAAACTTCTTCACCTTCTCGAACAGTGCCAACGCAATTCAATGCAGGTAGACTAGATGCAACATCCATCTCGTTGCTACCTTCGCTCATTCCCCTTACAGTCTTGTCATTCTCTTTTGTAATGGAAGCAGTAGAGAAATTATTTGAGTTTGAATCTAGGAAGAGGCAGACAACTGCACAGTCATCGACTTTAGAAGTTGGATATGTAGTTTTCCAAGCTCGAACAGCTACTTCAACAAGTGATCGAGCTGCCAATGAACGGGATGAAGCCGAAGCCACAATCCTCACTACTTCATCATTTGAAAGCACATCCCAAATCTGTCAGAAAAATCAAACTAATTTGATTGGCGACGGAATAAATGTTGGATCCGAGAAATACCAAAAGCAGGAATTCAAGATTCTTACCCCATCTGTCGCCAGAACAATGAATTCATCTTTCTCAGATAAACACCTATAAGAAATTTCAGGCACTGAGATGACACCAAAATCCTTGAGGCAAAAATCTCCAAAAGCACGGGCCATGGCAAGTCCAGGAGAATCGCTGTTTGGCATCCACACTCTTGCAACGTCCGGCTCATCATGAAGAGAAAACACTCGCCCTTTACATTTGCGAATCCTCTCAGCCTCCGCTGTACGTTTAGATAAGCAGAGTAAAGAAAACACTAGTGAGACGAGCATCAGTAGAAATTAATCAAAGTCAGCTACACAAAGGGAGAAGAATTCTGCTTTCTACAGTACCATTGCATGGATGCCATAACCCTACTACCATATAGTATTTCATCTATCCTGAAGAAAGCAACTGTTCCTTCAGGTCTAAAATGCATTTACCAGCAAAGTTCTAGAAATGTGGATTCAGCCACACCCTTGCAAAAGCATCTCACTTGTCATAGAACTTAAAAAAAAAAATTCCCTCCTTGGAATAGATTTCCCTGTCCTTTTACTTGTCTTTTCCTTCCACTTCTAGGTAACTGTATCGCATTCCTAAGTTTTACATGTTTACACCAGATCCTTGAAAAGTATCTCATTTGTCAAAGAAGTTCATAACATGAGTGATTGAAGTACATGATTAATCATAGATACGAAGGAGGTATGATTGCCAATCACTTCACACGTCAAAGAGAGGTCGAAAAACTTGCTCGAGTACTTGATGATTCTAAGAAAAAAAGGCCTCTGTGGACCATAGAAGCAAGATGTTGAGAAATATAGAGAAAATTGATAAAGATTTCAACAGAAGCTTAATTAAAAAGAACTTGAAACTTTAAGAGAACGGTGGGGGAACCTTCTGTCTTCTCTTACTTCAATGGAGAGAAAAGCTGACTAGCTTAAGTTTATCTAGACATCACAAGAGTCTCATGTGATGGACAATGAGTATGGGAATGAGACCGCTTAGCAAGAATTTCAACAGTTATCTATCACGAATTAGTTTTTCCTTTGTCACACATTTTCTTTGTATTCGGGGATGAACTTAGACCTAAAATCACATGGAGCCATGGAAGTAAACTGTCTTCGATGACCAATAATCCCTAAAAGAACATGTGAGCTTTAGCTAAAAATGCAAAAAAAATTGAAAGCAAGGATAATTGGCGAAACCAATTAGCTGGAACAAAAGGTTAGTTGCTATGGTGACACTAATATTATGTCTCATGTTCACAAGGAGATCTTTTTAATTTGGCTAAAGATCTTTGTGTCAATGTAGAGATATATGTGAGATTTAGAGAACCCTATTTTTCAGACAACCCCTAGTTTATCTTAACAAACAGCTTATTGAGTATTGAAAAGAAATGCCCGATAGAGTGTAATTGATATAGAGGATTCATAAATGCAACCTCAGAATAGTTGATTGATTGATTTCGTATATGTATTAATAGTTTGACCCTCAGTACAGTAACTTCACTCTATAGACATACTCGTCCAAAAGCAGATGATCTTACTAGCAGTTACTGCTTAACCAGTCCCCTCAGAAGGAATATTCTTTCTACAACACTTAAACCAATGAACCGGAAGGTTTTTTTTTTTTTTTTGGGGGGGGGGGGGTTTGCATGAATGTATAAGATTGCAACAACATGGAAGCAAGACAAAGTCATGTATGCACCTGGTAAATTGGGCTTAAGATCTACTGTCAATTGCACTGCAGTGAGAGAATCATCGTCGCCTCTCATACACAGCACAGCTCTAGAATCCCCAATATTTCCAATAACAAGATCCTTACCCTACAAAAAAAACAAAATACATTGTTCATCTTCAGATTAAAATAAGACAAAATCCAGCTAGCTTCAACTTTCTGAATATGACAACGAACCTGTTTAACTAGGGTTACTGCTGTTGTTCCACTACAGAGGCAATCGATATTGGTATAGCTTCTCAACTCTCTATCCACAACCTTATAAGCCTTCAGAAATGACCCCTTCAACGTTTGAAACACCTCTGTGTGCTTTTCAGTATCTTCAACATCAATTGAAACTCTCGACTCCTCAGAGATAAGGGAAGCATCCTCAGGATATAGGCTACTCCCCCTGTTGAGACTGATCTCTCTTAGAACATCCTCACTTTTTATATTAACTTCCCAGTGTGTGCTTAGCTTTAAAGGAAGAGCATCTCTGACTAGTTTTGCAACCATATGACCGTAAGGACCATGGCCGTCAAAAACACCACAGAAAACAGTATCTGTTCTGGAACCAAAATTCTGGAATATATTGTAAAAGCATAGTTAGAAAATGCTCCCCCACAGGTATAATCTATCTAGAGAGAGTATTCAGTAGCCAAGCATTTCATACTGTCGTATTTATTCTTCTTCTACAGATATACACTTACAAAATATAAATCAGGAAATAACGTATTATTTAACTTTTAAACGGCATGTCATGTAACTGTGTACTTATCCATGACTAGAAGTATCTAATATACTGCTTGCTTGTATGATGTTATTCCCACCCTCAACTCATTTGCTCTTAGAATCTGTCTCTTATGCCTTTTCTTGGGGGAGGAACAAGTAAAGCAAGTATAAATATGATGAAGTTCCACAACTTTATAAAAGGTGGAAAGTTAACTTGAACTAAAAAGAGATTGATTTTCAATTTAGAAGCTCCAAACATGACTTTTGCAGAGCAACTTAGAGAAAACAATGCAGTTTAGCAGATCAGTACAAAATGATGTATAACTCGAGGATACATTTTTGTCCCCTCTAACCTAAGTTGCTCGGACTTGGGCGCGGGTGTCCGATACGGGTGCGGATCTAGAGATAGGATCCTTCATGATCTAAAATTTAAGATTTGGGGCTACGGATCCAAGTATAGATACGGATGCGGGGTTTCGGCTAAAAATAATTAAAATATCTAAAAATAGAGTTATAAAGATATATCTAAATTATGAGATATTATATGAAAAACTTACAAGATATTCTGATATGGAAAAAATATTGATCAAGAGGAGAATCTGAGAAGGAGATAATAGGAAAAGGACTGACATAGAAATTTCTACATACAAAGTATTCCATATTTTTGAATTTTACCCCAACTTTTGTTTTGATTTCAAAAATCATTGTATCTATCCTTATTTTATCCGTCAATTTTGGTCAAAGTACCCAAAATCAGTTGACCAGATGCGGTACAGATCCCACACCCACACCCACATCGTGTCGACACGGGTGTGGCATCGAAAGTGAAGAGTCCGAGCAACTTATCCTCTAAATCTATGCATGTTTATAGAAAGTAAAAAAAGCAAAAAGCATGCCTTGAACAGTAAAAACTTACCTGGACCGGGTGTTTACACAAAGCAAATGAAAGCAAGACATATGTCTTGCATATACATTTTTTACATTTACTCATGGTTAAGTGATATGTATTTTCACTTTGATTTGTTGATTCTTAAGGTCAATTATGTAGTTAGGTATGAACCTGATCAAGAAAAAGAGTTGTCAATTATATAATTACTCACAAAATAAAAGGGCAGTCCGGTGCACAAAGCATCCCGCTTTCACGCAGGGTTCGGGAAGGGCCACACCACAAGGGGCCGTGATGTAGGCAATCTACCTTGATGAAAGCATATATATATATATATATATATATATATATATAGGCTGAAGCAAAAATAACTATCATTAGCTACCAAAATTGGGATCCAAAAGATAACTACCACATAACTTTTTAGCCCCTAGTTTCTTTCACTGCCGCAATGACCATATGCATTCTGGTGGTAATGAATATTGCAAGTCAATTCATAATCACAAAAATAGCAAATAGAAATTCAAGGACTAACCTCCCAAACAATCATAGCATCTTGATTAGTGCCTTTGTTGCCCTGCTGACTGAAGAGTGAAGCCACCTCACTAGAACCATTCAAGAACATACGCCCCGGTATCCTATGCAGCAGTTCTTCCTTATGATAGTCGAAGGAAGAATTTCGTGAACCTAACCTCTTTTTTGAGCTCTTCCTTTTCCTACTTGAAGATGCAGGAGAACCGGGATGAGGGCTCCTGCTTTCAGATGATAAGCAGGAACCCATCCCGAGTCCCCGGACTATATTCAGTATGCACTCCAGAACAGCAATATAATCAGACACCCTATTTCCCGTGTTCCGATCCGTATTAATTATCCTTCTTGAAAATCTTCAAATTCTACCAACCAATCCTCCACTCAATCCAATCACTTCATCCCAAAAAGTCGGGATCAACTATACGAATCCCCACTGACCACGTTACCAACAAAAGAGGTAAAAAAATCCAATAAACAGACTGCTAACCACAATCCACTTCGACTCCAAAAGCAGTCAATATCCAATCCACCAAAAAAAATCTATCAGACTCAAAAAGTTATGAACATTTCAACAACACTTGAAGGATCATGCATAAAAGAACAGTTCTTGAAACAATTCCTCTATGAATTATCACAAATTTAAAGTTTTTGAATAATAATAATAATAATAACTGTAAAGAAAAATACTCACTACCCTTTTGTTCCCGTTCTAACAGAGAAAGCCAACTTCAGATATTGCAAACATTAAAAGGGGCATTAAAACATAAAGAGCAGATCTATCAAAACTGTACCCCTTTTCAATTTTTTAATAGCAATAACCCCAATATATACCTTTTTTATTATCACCTTTCACTTACAAGAAGGGTCAATTAGTGACCAGTATAAAGAAAGTGTCAAACTTTATCAAAACCCCACTTCTAATTAAGCTCAATTAAGCTCTAAATTATGTATGAACGGGAGGATTTTTTTTATTTTTATTTTTGGTTAAAAGGGTTGAAGTAGAATTAACACAGTATAGTTAGAAGTGTATTAAGAACAAATGGATAAAATTAATATGGATAAGAGGCGAAAGGGGAAAACGGAAAGTGAATGGTTTAATGGAATTGAGAGGACAGGAAAAGAAATAGGAATGGCAGCGAACAACAGCGTGACACACAGCACAGAGAGAGAAAAAAGATGGCAAAAATGGCGCCGATATGACTCTTTTTGTCAGGAGGGAGAGAGAGTATATAATACAGATTAGAAGTTAAAGAATATACATTTACTTAATTATAATTAATAATAAATGTGTATATAAAAATTAAATATCTTGCATTTACTTATTCGACTTAAACCAAATACGTGTAAGTTTTTACGCATTAATTACTTAATCATAAATCATACTTGATATGTAGATTGATTTAATTTAAGAATGTTAAAAAGCTAAATTGCTTAATTTTGTATAACATGTGTATATATACAAATGGATAAAAGTGAAAAACTTTTAGTATTAAGGCTAGGGTATAATTTTTTGGTAGAAAGTAGAAGCCTTAACTTATATGCATTGCCAACTAGAGATGTTTAATTAATTTGGAATATGAGATTAGATGTTGACTTTATAAAATCTTATATAGAGATGTCACCTTAAGTACTTATTAAGTATAAAAAAGCAGTGCCAATAAATAAAAATTAAAATTAAAAATACAAATATAGAAACTAAATCATCAAGCCCTCGCGTATGAACTCTAAAATTAGATTATACATGCATAGAAGTCACATAGAATATAATTTTTTCATATTGATCAGGTAAGGTCTTAAAATGAATTTGTAGTGGCAAGATTTTACTATTAATGTGTTGTTTAAAATTTAATCAAAGTTTCAAACTTTAAACTTATCACTTGCTTTGGACGAATTGAAAAATGTTTTTAGAGAAGAAAGTTTGTATAAATAAAATGCATTTTGATAGTTGCTTTTCTTTTCTTCCTTTCATTGTAGTTTTTAACAAAATAAAAGATTTTTTCAGCATATAAAACAATCTGATTAATAGTGACTAATTTAAATTGACGGCGACAAGACTCGATACCAGAGCAAAGTACTTTTTGTAGACAAGAACTCTTAGAGATTGTTTTTAAAATATATTAGGGAAAATAATAGTATAATGTATTAATTTAATACTATTAATTTCTTAGAGTATTTGGTATCACCTTCGTTTCAATTTATGTGAATCTATTTTTGTTTTAGTCTGTACCAAAAATAATGATCACTCTCCATATTTGAAAACAAGTTATATTTTATAGTCGCACAAAATATATGTGTCTTATTTTACACCACAAATTTAAAAGTATTTTTTTTTCTTAAACACTGTGCCCAGTCAAATAGATTCACAAACGGAAGGAATAGTATTTTTTAACCTGTGTATACAAGACACTATATTCAGTACTTCTTATACATAGCAAGAAAAACAATCATCCAACCACAAATATTTGGTAGTAACGAAAAGTAATTGGATTGTGTTATAAAATAAAAGCAATTTAGTAAAACATGAACAAAAAATAGAGATAGAGAGAATGAAGAGATTCTCTTCTTCAATTGTGTATTTTTTCCTATCTATTACAAGGCCTTTATATAGGCATAAAAAGTAAAGAAAATATGTCATGGAATATGTCATTGAACATACAAATTATGTCATTGAATATGTCATTAAGCATTTTAGATGAAGATCATGGAAGAAGAGTAGACATCCACCATAATGTGATATTCATCATAACACTCCCCCTTGGATGTCCATAGATAATGTGCCTCGTTAAAAACTCTCTAAAAAAATATTGGGATGTACATAGTTATTTATGATATGCATTGCTTGCTGCCTCATTAAAAACCTTACCAGGAAAACCCAGTGGGACAAAACCTTGGT